CGGGCAGAGCCGCCCGTGTTAGCTGCCCTCCCGGGGAGAGGGTGGCTGCCAGCACCCAGCCAGCCTCGGCACCGGAGCGGGGAAAGCCGCCGTGCCTTGCGGGCTGCCCGCGGCGCGCTGAAGGGCGCTTACAGACAGTGCCACGGGGGAGGAGAGACAAGCGGCGTCGGGTGGCGTAGATAACGTGTTGAATGTTCCGCGTAGTGAAGGTTAAAGAATCCCTCAACTCCCACGTCAGATGCTTTTAGCTCCGTTACACGCCACGCCGAGGTGTGCTGGCAGCGTCTGCTCTGAAAGCTAGTGTCGCGGTGATGTCGGTAGGTGGTGTTTCGGTTACAGTCAAACAGCGAACCTGTGTGCCCCTGTGAGGACCAAACCGTGGGGAAATAAAATCTGTGGTGAATATTGTGCAGTAAAATGGTTTTGTTCTTCCAGCTCTCTGTATTTACGGTCTCTTGTAAGAGCGAGATGGTATCAGTGCTACGCTGTTGCAGAGCTAATGCATGAAACAGGAGTTCTTAATAGCATTCAGAAATGCAAGAATTAGATACTTTTTCCATTTAAAAAAAAAAAAGCCTATTTTGGTCTTCAGTTAGCAGTTTGGGCCAATGTCCTAATTAATAGGGTATGCAAATATTATAGACACCCTACTCTAGTTGGTTTCATCTGTAGTAAGTTCGATGATGATGATAGAGACACAAAATCTGCATTTTATAATCAGTCTACTTCCTAAATTCTTCTATAGGTGGATTGCATATTGCTTTGGGTTTTAAAGAGGAAGTGGATTTAAAGAGGAAGCGGAGAAGCACCGTGACTTTATTCTTCAATTACAGCTTTAAGACATGCCTTGATCTGGGGTTTTACCATGCTGTTTGTAATTCAATCTAAGAGGGTACTCATGCTGTAAAGAAAATACTACTTTAAGAAAACATAACTTTCTATACTAAAGTGTTGTGTTAATTGCCCCTATTCTTATTGAGGAAGATGGAGAACCTTTCATGTGGAAACGCTGAAGTAAGCCTAAGTTACCCATGGTCAGTCTTGTGTTCTTGATAAGGTGCGGCAGGCTTCAATAATTTAAAGCTTTCTTATGTAACTCATCTGGTTTAGATGTTGAAGGAAATTTTTACCTTGATTTGAGCTTTGAACTCTTGCATTCTAATGCCTCTGATCAATCAATAGTTTTCACTTAATCTCAGTCATGAAATTAAGGTCTGAAAGCTTTGTGTGAAAACAAGGCAATAGACTTCCATACAAAAGCTTAAGGATGGAAGTGGTGATGTGCTGTATTCTGTTGGGGGGGGGGAGGGGGGGGACGGTTTGAGAGAGAGAGAGAGAGAGAGAAATCCTCCACTATCCAAGGGAATAGCAGGGGATCCAGGGTTCTCGATCCATAACTCAGACAAATCCTGGTACTGGTAAAGGAGTTAATTTGTCTGAACATTGTGGTCTAAGTTGATAAAGGAGTGCAAGGTATGATTTGCCTGCTGTTACTTGGTATTCTTATCATGGGTTGGCAAAAGTTAGGCATCTTCTGATGCTGCTGTTCTGCAATATACTAGAGTTATGGCATGAATGAAGTGCTGTGTAATATGGTTTACATGGAGATCAGGGATGTAATGAATCACAGCAGCTAGCTGAACAGTAGAACAGCCCAAATTTGTAAGTCAGGGTCTGAAATTTAGCTGCGTGGTGGTGTTGTTTTTTTTTTAAATGTATGAGTCATAGTCTTTGGTCTCTCCAAAATTCTAGAGAGTCATTTCTTGGAAACTCTTGCATTCGTACAATTGCTCCTAATCGCAAATAAAGATGGAAATCTGATTTGTATGCTAAGATGAATTTAAAAGTACAAATTGTTATCGTAAGGTTAGTAAAATTATAACCTAGGCTTTTAATTTTAACTTTCTTTTGTTTTTCTAAAGTATACTGTTCTGTGAAAGATACCAGAAACAAAATTTTAATGTTATCTTGCTGTAAGAGGCATGAACGTATTGTGAGTAGCTTTATGGATGAGATGCAAAAAACCTGATAGTGCCATTTGGCACCTGCGCTATGGAGAATATAATATTGCTCTTTTGAAGCTGGGATTTTTTACAAGGCTCTATTGTACTTGCAAGTTGAGGGTAGTGCCTTAATAAAGTAGTCTGTCTGTTTTGAGTGCATCACTGGTTGCCAAAGCTGCTGCCTTCAGTGGAAGTTTTGCTTAACAAAGATGGAATGTACATGAAAGTTGTCCTGAAAACTTGATATCCAGTGCTGTTACTTTACAACAGTTAAACTTAACCAGTGCCTTTGAGAAGAATGACTTAGTGAAGGTCATGAGGTACCATGGTTTAAAAAAAAATGTACCCATGTCCCAAATAAACATTTTAGTATCTTGAGCTAGAAAAGATCAGAGATGAGTCAGGTGTATTTTGTTTTGTGATCGTCTGAATAGGAGACTAGGAAGCTGACAGCACCTTTCTGTATTACGCTCTTTTGATTCCTGCAAATTTTATTGGATAGGGAAAAACTACCAGTAAACACTGGAGCTTTCTTGCGCGTCTCCCCAAAACCTATTACTGTCTCTCTTGCACATCATAGCCTCGCTCCTTTATCCCTTGAAACTCTACATCTTATGGAACTAAGTCCTGATTGTTCTTCTGGTGAAGTTCCACTTTCTGATGAAATTCTTGTTTCAAAGCGTCATTTGTATTTTCCATGGGAGAAGAGTTATAATATCACAGGAGAAGGATTTGGAGTTTCTTCTTCAGCATAATGCTGCTCCTGGGGGGCATGAGACTATTTGTGTCTTTTAAATTTTTAAAGCAAAGACAAATGATTAAACAAATAAAACTATTACTAATATAAAATTTTTAATTACTCATGATGAGCTGTGGGTTTGGGTGGTTTTTTTAGAGCACCTTACAAGTTTTAACTGCTGTAATATGTTTGTTAGTCTCTTTTGAAAGAGTATTTCAACATATGATTTCCAACCAAAAATTCTTTGGCTGAAGGTGGTGTTCTGTGCTAAACTGCGTGAAGTAGTTCTGCAGGATGTTAGCAAATACCATGTAGTGATTCATAGGGTTGTATGTAATTCTAAAAATAAGGCTTTGTGCCTTATTTTTTCTTACTTCAAAAAGACAACAGATATGTTTTTCTTTGTAGATTCTTTGGTAGGTACCTAATGGTACAGACTTCTAAAAGTTAAGTGGGTAGAGTGTACTCTGTTCACACTTTGCATATAGCATTAATATCTGAGCTCTTGGGAACCAGCTTATTTTAAGCCTTGTCAAGCTGTGTGGTTCCAGTGTCTCGTTTGTGTTGCCAGCTTGCTTTACCCTCAACTGTGGGCTTTCCAGCCTGCAACATCCACACAAGAGAGAGTTTTCAAAGGGAATAAAAAACTGTCAAACTGAGAGTCTGAGCCTGAGAAATTGTACCCAAGTAATTGTGTTCAACACAAGAATTAAATCAGATTGAGGTGTTAAAACTGTGCTGTCGATAACTTGTATGACATGATATGTGTCATAATGTGCACACATGTTTTTATAACTGCATTGTCTCATTGTTTTCTGTTATGGTAGTCAGTCACATAAAACAGGAATGATGATGTAGAATGCTCATGGCACAGTGAGGAAATGCAGTAAAGAAGGCACTAAATTACTATGGTGACCCAATTTCTGATCATGGCTTTGTCACTGGTTGTCTATAGTGTGTTCATTTAGGTGCCAGTACTTTAATTTCCCAGGCCTTGTATCACTTAAACAGATGTGACCTTTCATTATTGGTGGTGAAGCTTCATGCTAGTGGTTCCATCCAAACACTGTTGTAATACTTTAAAAAAAAAAAAAAAGTGTTCTGTGCCATGGAAAACATGGAGTAGGATTTGACTAAACTTTTCTTCTCCTCTTTGAGTTTAGTAGTTTTGAAGGAGCTTTTTGTGGTAGTAGATGTAAAAGGTGTTTTCTATATGTATTGAAATGCATTATACCTGCAAAATATTACTGGTTCTGGAAGACTGATTAGCTTACATCAGAGTTATCATTCTCTCATCGCATATTGTTATCAACCCATTCTAGAAATGTATGTTCATTTAAGTGAACTTGGACACCTGACTCTTTTCTGCCTTGAGTTTTCAAAATTACTGTAATGCTTCTTTGAGAAGAACATGGACTACTTGGAGACAAAGCAAAAATTTGTATCTCCAAGAGGACAACAGTATGTTTTTTTTTCTTTGAGATCAGTTATATATGAAAACACTTCCTTATAGGAGTGAAGTAGTTTAACTACTGTTGGTCATTGGCATCTCATCCCACTGATGCTAAATATTATCTACAATGCGTTCATATAGTCATAGTCTTTGTTCTTTTACGCATAGATAATGAGCGAGACATGGGCAAGGATATTCCAATTCTGTTCTCTCTCCTACTAGTATAGATTGCTGCTGAAGATGCAGAATTAGTTTTCCTGATAGTAAAATATGGAAATTCTGCTGTTACCCACTTGAGTTGGAAGGCATGAAGAATTATAAGTGGACAGTGTAGGAAGGGGGCTGAAGCATTTTTAATGTAGCAGCTTGCTGGGGTTTTTTTAAGACTATGTCGCTAGAGAGCAGCAAAAACCTGTATTCCTAGAAGCTTTGCCTATTCAGCTCATTAGGCACTGTTTTCTGCTTTTAAGGGAGGGGGAGAGTAGCTTCAGAAGGAAGTAATGTTCTATTTGTGCCAAGGAAGCCATTCAGTTGTGTGTGACAGTGTACTGTGTCTTGGCAGAAGACTAGAAGACAGTGGCATGAAACTGGATCAAAAGTATGAAGTGTATCAAATTGCACTCCTTGGGAATTCTGTAACAAGAGAGGTAGCAACTAAATGAATGAGGAAGATAAGACACCAAATTTTTTATCTAGTCATACTGGTATCAGTGGTCTCTACAACTTCACAAGATCAGGAAGATGAGTAAGTGTAAGACTGTCAACACAAACCTCATTTTTCACTTCAAGTAACTTGGCCTCTGTACAGTGAGGCAATGTCAATGTGTTACTGAATATCTGTCTGTTACTGTAGGCATTCAGATGTATGCGCAGTTATGATGAGCCAAGAATATTATGTAAACAGGAAAAACATGGATGAAGCAAGAGAGATAAAGGCCTGCTTGTTAAGTTGAAAGAAATGTCAGTATGTGAATACTTTAGGAAAATTTTAATGGGTTAAAAAAGAATTTGTTCAAGTGTAAGTTACCAAAGGCACACAAACACGAAAATAACTGTTAAATGTTCTTATAGTTAAACTCTGAATAATAAGACTCTCCTTATTTCTCTGATTGGGGGGTGGGAAATTGCATCTAAAAACTTTATTTTTTTTTTTTCTGTAACAGTAGAGGATGATTGGCAATAATTTGTTTTGATTCAAAATCTTAGGGGAAGGAGGTGTTTTCAGAGAAGCAGATACAACTGGTAATCAAGGCTTCGAGATGGATTGTGTATTTGCGATCAGATCAGCATTTATTTGAATCCGTGATATCGAAGGGTAGAGGGTTGTAAAATCTGAGGCAATTCCGGCGGTTATCTTAAACTCAAGTGAAACACTAATTTTCACATTTGGGAGCATCTTTTGCTTTCCACCTATTAATCCTCATGCCTTTGGTGTGGGTTTTTGCATATACCCTTGAAAGAGGCTTATTTATGGCTCAGTGCATTTTTGTGTCTTGGGCATGAATGTTTAAATTCATCTAAACTTCTGTATTCTAATCTTTCTGCATGCATGTACACAAGTTCTAGGCTAGCTTTTGCTGTCTACGGATGAACAAGTGGAGGCAGAGTGTATTGATATTTGTATTGTTGATACTGCACAGTCTGGCTTTGGTCCTGTAAATGCAGGAAGGAACGGAGAAAGAAGTTTGAAGTAGTAGTCTTCCTTCTCCAAGAAATTTTGCAATTTAAAGAATGAAACCTGATCATCTCAGACATGATTAGTCGATTATTCCTGATTTGTTGCCGTCTTCCCCCTGGCCCCCCTTTACTAGTGCAATTGATAGCTTTAGTAAACGTAATGTAAGGCAATGTTTTCCTGGAGCTTCATAAATAACAAGTCTAAACTGTATTCTGCTTTTGTGAAAGAGTATGTTCTCAGGTCGCTCAGGGTTTGTTTCTTAATGGAGATTAAGCCTTTATACGCCCTTTCCTCAGGGCAAAATTGAAGCAATCAAGTATTGATCTTGGATATCCAGCAGAATCCTGGTTGTCACTTACTAAAGCTATACCCATGGTTATTGTGAACAAATGGCATTATTTGTATTGGGTTTGAAAGTAGCAGAATTGCATGCTATGGAGGATACAGTGTTAATAAAAAGTCTAGATCTTTAGTATGAGGAACTGTAATGCAGCTTCTTCATCTGGAGGAACATCTAGGATTGCAGCCTTTCTCTTCTAATACATAACTATGAGGAGAGGTGACTTCAGCTTTAAATGACTGACTTTCGTCTGCTCATCTCCTAATTTTTTTTTTTGTCCCACTAAAGAGCCTTGTTGTGTTGTTCTTTGGTGTTACAGTTCTGTATTTATGTAACCAAAAAGATTATAGGCCTTGTAGTGTTTTGAACTTCTATTTCTTTAGTCATTCAAGTTGTTTCTCAACTCAGAACATGTTACCAATGCTAACATGAATGTTTTTTCTCAATACAGCATTACAGTGTTACTGCCATCTATGTACAAAAGACAACTTTACGTGTGTGACAGATGGGCTATGTTTTACCTCAGTAACACGAACTGCAGACAAAGTCATACACAATAGTATGTGTATAGCAGAAATTGATCTGATTCCCCGAGACAGGCCGTTTGTTTGTGCCCCCTCTTCCAGAGATGGAGTCATTACTGTGCCTCATTGCTGTGACAGAGACCACTGCAATAAAATTGAACTTCCAGTTCCAACACCAGGTAAGGGGTTTTGGCATATTTGATTTATTTTTTTTTTTTAAACAGAAAATTCTGTAAGAGTGGAAGTTTCTGTTTTGAGGTTGTAGGTGAATTTGAAGGCCTAAAGTACACCTTGAAGTCTGCAAATAAAATTTCAAGAGATTTGGAACAAGAAGTTTAATCTTCTGGATAGGGATGTTAGGGCCGGTTTTGAAGACTTACATGTAAGTTAAATGGAAACTGAGTCAGCACATATTTGCTTTTGTCCTTTGTAATACTTTGATTCTTGAAAAAGTTACTGTGCAAAAGTTTTAACAAATACATTGAAATAATTTGAAGATCACTGTGAAATATAATAAACTTAGTTGCATAAAAAGAAAGAAATAGTTTTGCTGTTTTTATTTTTACTGTCAGGCCCTACTCCAGGAAAACCAGCCACTAATCTAGGACCTGTGGAACTGGCTGCTGTCATTGCTGGACCTGTCTGCTTTGTCTGCATTTCACTGATGTTGATTCTATATCTTTGCCATAATCGTACTGTAATTCATCATCGTGTTCCAAGTGAAGAAGATCCCTCACTGGATCGTCCCTTTATATCAGAAGGAACTACTTTAAAGGATTTAATTTATGATATGACAACTTCAGGCTCTGGATCAGGTAATGTCACATTTCTAGTAGTAATTACTCTGTATTTAAGACCCTTTTAATGCATCAGTTGTTTTTTTTTTTTAATATTGTCAAATCTACTTAAACTTTTGATTAACTGGAGAAGTTATCAAAAAGCTATTTTCCATGTAGATTCATTCAATACCAGGGAAGATTAAATGTATGGAAATTAGTCAAATGGGAGAAACATAGTGAGTTGCTGCTACAGTTCCTCATAATTCTGAGCGTACAGTCTGATATGCAGGGATTATCACGGTCAGCTATTGTAAATGTTTTGTTTCCTCTAGTAAGGCTTGGTCATTTACCTTTTTGTTCAGCACAGCATAACTAAATTACCATCACCTGTGGCTTTGAGATGTGTAAAGTTTTTTTCTTTAGCTTTGAACTGAAAATTGATTTATATCCGTAGCTATTGGTATATGAAGAATATTCTGAATTCTGAGTTAATATTTTAGCCACTTCTTTCCTTACAGAAGATATATTTTTCAGTTGTAAATAGCCATTTTTATGTGTATAGAATGGATGTTGGATGCAGACCATGTCTGAAGAATTTCCATCCTTTGAGTTCATGAATTTGTGCTTTAATTCTGATATAACAGGTGTTGCTCTGGGAAGATGAAGCAGTAGTCTGTTCACTGCATATAGTCTCTGCTATTGTAATCCTGACATAGTTGCTTTGGGATTTTGATGGTCTGTGTCACAGAGATATGGTTTAATAGGTGTTGAAAGGCAATGATGTGTCGGATAAATCATTGTATAAATTAATCTCAGCTCCATGTTAAGGAGCAAGACATCAGATTATGTACTGCAGCCTCTTATCGGCCTTCTACTGTATAAAAAAAATAAATAATTTAATACTGAAAATTATTCCTACTGCTTGCAAATGTATGTGCTGAAGCACCCATGTCCTTTCAGGGTACTTTCTCCAAAGAAATGCTGGTGTTTGGTCCTCAACTGCCGAATTCTTTAATTCCCCAAAATTGGGAGAAATTACAACAACCACCAAGCGTCTAGGTTGTACTTGTTTCCCAAGGGCAGTAACTGATAAAACTGTTTAGAGTTGATTGCTGTATCAAGTAAAATCAATGTAACTTGCTGAACATGTTTAGAGTATAGGTCAAAATAAGTCATCTTTAGTCATATCTTCATTGAAGAAGGTGAGGCTGCACTGTGTGTAGGCAGTTATGTTTCAATTGAGAAAGCTTTTGTGTGTCTGAATAAGATTTGATCGTGATAGGGTAAGTTGCTCTCTGGTTAGAACTGAAGCTTGAGTAGTTTGTGTTTATCTCAATTTTCTCACTTACTAGCAGTGATAACTAAATCAATGTAAGTGATTGATAGAATGTCCAATGTATTGGGCTAGAACTAGACAAATGCGAATGCTGGACTTACTCCTCCAGTTTTGTCCTTTCTAGGAGGAGTGTACAGAAGTAAGAATATGAAGGAATCATAGGTTTACATTTCTTGGAATGCAGGAAGCTGTGATATATAATTATTACCCTGTTAGAAGCATAAAACTCTTGACTTAATGTCTGCAGGTACAGACTTTTCCTGAAAAAGGCTGGAAATAAATTCTAATTTTTTTTTTAAATTAAACCTTAAAAGAGTAGGTGTATGTTCTATATGTATAAGTACTCATCTGCAATGTACTAGCTACTGTCACTTCAGTAAACACAGGAAAGAAAGCCTTTAAAGCTTTCCCTTGAAACTGTGTTTAGTCATACTTGCTTTAAAGTACTGTGTGGTTGATAGTTCCCTTCTAACTTCTGTAAAGAATTGCAGTACTTCTGCCACTTTCTGCATGGTTGCTTTCTCACACTTTTTTAGGTCACAAGTCAGGCCTATGATAATGTTAACTCAGACTTAGTTGTCAATTGGCCTTTCCATTTTCTATCAGGAATAGTCCTTCATTTTTCCTTCTGGCCTTTTTCCCATGGTGCTTCTGAGCCTCTCTTCATGTTTGGAAACTCTGGAAGTAGTCCTTCAAAATAAGCTCTTGAAAAGCTGGGAATCCCAGTTAGAAGAAATGTAGGATTCTTCCTCCAGAGCAAATGGTTAGAAACTACTGACTCTTCCCTTGCCTATTTGCAAATTACGCTTTAAGTAGAAGCAGCATGCCAGGGCATTACTTAGTTTTCAGAGATTCAGGACGCTCAAGCTGGTCTAGACTCCCAGAGCACCTACTATAGTATTTGAGCATTGGCTACTGATGGCTGCATCAGAGGAAGAAAACCAACAAATGTGGTTCCATTTGACTTACGCTTAAGGAAGGCTTTTCACTAACTTGTTCTTATGCTTGAAAGGCAAAGTCATGTTCCCTGTAAAACAGGATGACTGAATACTTCCTTAAGAGTGATCTTTTAACTTCAGCTGCAGTGAGTTCCGTGTTGTTCAGCTGTTGGTAAGACAAGTATTAGCCCTATTTAGTCTTCTATATTTCCCTTTTATTATGATAGTGGGATAGGAGGTGCTTCAGGTACTTATTTTTTCTACTGATGGCAGTGTATATATTTGCAATGACTTGTATTACTTTGTCACAAAATTAGTCAGTCGATTATATAAATTCACGGTGATGTAGCACTTAAACTGGTATTTTTTCATGTCCTGAAATATGCCTGCAGCAGTTGAATCTCATTGAAATGTGTATTTTAATCTAGACTTTGGTAGAGCATATTTAAAATTGAGAAGACTGTACATTTATGGGATAAACTGAGGGTGGGAAACGGGGTCACTGAAGGGAGAAAAGTCAGAGCTGCTAGTTAAAATACTGCTTAACCCTGTCAGAAACTGCATTGTGTGAAAGGGATGCTGTTGGGGTGGGAGGTTGCAAGAAACGCAACGGAAATGTGCAGAACAGACAAAATAATCCAGACCTAAGAGGCACAGTTAAGGAAATTTTTGGTCTGGCGACTTAAAGTAAATGTTCTGCTCTTAAATTCGTACTGAGGGACCAAAAGAGCTTGTAGTCAAATAAAAAGGATTCTACCTGTTCTGTATTACAGTAGTCACTGAAGAGAAGCATATAAAGCAGAAGTGATCAAAACTCTAAAAGTTAGCTTCCTACGCAGATCAAAGGGGAGGTAGGATTCATCTTCTGCAGTGATGAATAGTAAGCTGTTATTAATTATTCAGTCTTGACTTCTGTTAGTATTGCCCTGTTGTTCCATGACGAATGAGACCTGAAACAACTAGAGGCTTGATGAAAGGAATTGATTAAACATCTAAAATAGATCCTTCAGCTGAAGCTGCAGTTAAGAGAAGGGTTTCAAAGTCTCTTGGAGCTGAGAAAATTTTCAGATCATGATCTGAAAAAAATCTGAGTATCAACTATATATTGTATAGACAGATTGGGATGCCCAGCTGTTATTCTCCAACTCACAAATGACAAAATAACTCGTTGCAAGGAAATTAGAAGAATTGCCTAAAACGGGGGAGAAACTTTTGTTATTATTGGTAGGTGACCTCAAGCAGGAAGTTAATGTTTAGAAATCCAAAGGGTCACAGAAATCAAAGTAAAGTTAAATCAGTTGAAGTGAATGTAAAACTCCTTAAACTTATCTTGCAGTTCATAGAAGCTTGAAGAGAATGAGATTTTTTCATAGTTCATGGGGTTGGTTTATTTTATTACTCTTCAGAGGAAGTCTTCTGGGCAGAGACTTATGAACAAGAACACAGTTCTAGCAGCTGCTTTTGTTGGCTACCTTTAGTGCTTTAGAACTTAATTCCTGAATTATCCAAATCAGATACAAACTTCTTATGCATTGGACAATCATTGGTCCAAACTGATCAGAGTACGTTTAAGATGTGGAAAAGAAAAAGAACTCTTTTGTTACACTCAGAAGGGTTGAGGATACCTTGTTGTGATGTATGAAGATGATGATGATGAAGGCTTCAGGGATCAATTGGATCACTGTGGCTGAGTACAATATGCCAGCTGTTATGAGCTGCTGTTGAAGTTAACATTGGCTTGAATTTTCTCATCCTCCTTATTAGCAAACTGTCATCTTTCTTTATGCACAGTTAAAAGCAGCTCTACTCCAAAAGCTTAAGGTACAATTGTGCCCAATGTATATGTCAAAGGCTAATGTAGCTATCTCCAGTGAGCTACTTTTCAGGCAGTCTGGTTTACAGTAAAGCAGCTGCTCAAGTTCCTGGTGATACAGGGCTGTGTTTCCCCTATAGCATAAAGAGGAGACTGCTCAGTTGCGCCAGGAAGTCCTGATTCAATTTTTATGGATGCGAGATAAATATGGATTCCAGTCTTGTGGTTTTGTTCACCAGCATTAGTAAGAGAAAGCATAGTCACTAAGAACAGAAGCAAGTTAAGTCTCATAAATACTGTAAAGCTAAGTATAGGAGTAAGGTGGCTAGATCACAGTTAGCAGGGTTTGTACTGTGACATGTTAACGTGAGAATTGGCGGGGTTTGTAATGTGAGATTGAATCGTGTCTGGAAGGTTTAGAGCTTAGTATCTGTTTAGAGGTTAGCTGATATCCTTGGATATCATCTTTTTTTAAACAAGAAGGAATATCTATAAACCGTACAGCAGGTTGAGACCAGTGCATCTGAAACTGAAAATGTACAAATTATTTTCTGAAACAGCTGTAGGAAAAAGAAAATATTAGGTGTATCACCTGCTTCAAGTATACAACAACAGCTTGTATTTAACATGTCATTGGATTTTGCAGTAGTACGTAAGTGCTAAGGAGGAAGCTTTCTCTGGCCAGCAAAGTCAAATTTTGTTTTCAGGGTTGAGTTTGGTCCTGTGGTTGTTCTAGTTGGGCCTTTTCTGCATTTCAAAAGTTTGTCCATAAAGAATGCAAGTTAGACTTCAGAGATGAGTCTTTACAGTTTGGGCACACAGCACAATTGACCTGAGGACAGATACTACAGCAACATTTTTAACTTTCTCAGTAGAAATCACTGCAGCACCTCATAATGATTAAATCACTGGTATGGTGTCTGGTTTTCCTTTTTCCATGTAGGTATGTTGTCGGTACAGATCATGCAGAAAATTCCTGTAGAATCTAGAAGTCTTGAAGAACTCTGTACACTGCAGTGTTTTAATTTGCACTCCTCAGATTGAGACACAAGTGTGACAATGATGAAGACCAGATCACATGTCCTTCTGGTGCTGTTGTTAGCAAAGAATGTCCAGAAATGGACAGAAACTAGTTATTTGAGCTGTTAGTTGGAATTTATTTTTTATAGCATAAGGAAATAGACTTTCTTCTATCAGCTATAGGAACCGCGATTATGGTGTAATAGATTACTTGGTACAGAATTTGGTGTAACAGATATAATATATAGTACCAAAAGAGCTTACTGTGAGCAGATACTTGGCTGATGCATTCATCCTGCAGTGTAGTATCACTGCAGAATTCTGTGACAAGCCTTGGAGTTACAACAGGAAAGATTTAAAATAAAAAAAAAAAAAACACCCTGGCTGGACAATGCCAGTGCTGTTTGTTTGTTGTATAAACTTACAGAAGTGTGTTATGAGGTGCTGTGAGTTGAAAGCACGTAGCTCTTCCAAAGCTATAAAACCTTCATGAACGTAAGCATTTTTCTCAAGTATAATTATAGTGAGGTGCACAAGAATGGCCTGTAAAATGGGAAGCTTGCATTATAAGGATGTCTTCCTATTTTACAGTGGCTTGAGAGTACTAACAGGCTGCTGGCATACTTGGACATGAGTGTGAACATTTGAAGGTTAATGTTGTTGATAAGGGTAGTTTAGCTTTAATTTAGCAATTGGACAGAGTCTAGTGATAAATCAAGTAAATGAATCAGTAGCAAAAGTGTTCTTGAACTGCTTTGTCAGGAGAGTTATGGGCAGACCCTTTTCTGAAAAAAAAAAAAAAAAAAAACCCAAAAAGAAACAAACATAAAACCTCCACAACCAAACAAAAAAACCTCTCTGTCTTGGTCCTGATTGTTTCATGGTTTGCTTCTTTTTTCATTAAAATAAAACTTTATGGATCAGCAACTGTCAAAATTCTAAACTGATAGAAAGTTTGTGCCTTCTTTTTAACAACTGTAGAGGCAGTTTGTAATTAAATTTTTGAATAGTTGTATTGCTGGCCTTTTAGGTTGAAGGCAGCATCTTACCTACATGCTTGTTAGCAGTTTACGACAAGCTGTTAGTATCCTAAGAGAGTTTATGTGCATTCTAAGAGAAATATCTTAATGGAATATGGATCTTACATTTCATACTTATGGTAAGTACTTACTTTGTTAGAAAGTTGTTTAAGGTTAATGTGAAATCTTCTTTTTAGGTTTACCGTTACTTGTGCAAAGAACAATTGCAAGAACTATAGTACTTCAAGAAAGCATTGGTAAGGGTCGCTTTGGAGAAGTCTGGAGAGGGAAGTGGAGAGGAGAAGAAGTTGCTGTGAAGATCTTCTCTTCAAGAGAGGAACGCTCATGGTTTCGCGAAGCAGAAATCTATCAAACAGTTATGCTACGGCATGAAAACATTCTTGGATTTATAGCTGCAGACAACAAAGGTTAGTAATACTATGAATTCATTTTGCTGATTGTATACTCAGGCAGAATAGATGATAAATGGGGGGGAATAAAGTTGTGATGATCCAGTTGAGGGTAGCAAAAATAATTTTGTTACTAGAGCATTTCAGGTCTTGGCAGGCTTTTCATAGGTTTCATGAAGGAAAAAATACATTTTCCTCTTTCTGGAAAACATGCTTTGTTTAAATCTTAAAAAAATTTGCATATTTAATGAGGTGTGATTTCTACAAGCAAGTTAAATATTGTGTAAGTTTGGTATCAAAAAGGAGATGCCTTATCTTGTCAGCTCACATATCTGCTGAATATCTGTACTGCCCTAATAGCCTAATAAGATAAATGTGTGGGACCAAAAGAGATCATATCTAATCCTGTTGTCTTAATATAAAGTAGAAGGTAGAGGATTCATTTTTAAGGCTGAGATATGAGAAGTTTCTCATTTAGAACTCCAGTTAGAAAAGAAATTGGAAAAAGGGAATTAATGATTTATTCCTAGTATTAAAAAAAAAAAACCAAAAACCCTGTGCCTGTTCCCTGAAGTTCTCCTCATAAGCTGTTAAATATCCACTAAGAGGAACAGTTTAACCACTTTTTCAAATTTTTCATAAACACCCTTTGACTTTTTTGCAAAGAAAGCATTAAGAGAAAATTCTGTCACCTTAGGGAGCAGTCAAGAATCCACACGCATCCTGGATTCCTAAAGGGCTCTCAGTTTTGTGGGAAATTCCTAAATGGTTTTAGTGTAGTTGAAGCATATATACAAATAGAATTCTTTAAAATTATCCATAGATTAATTTCAAGTTTCTATATCTATATAAATCTCTAGAATTGGAACAGAACCCAAGAGGCTGTGCAGGACACTCCCGTCCTCCAGGAAAGGGTCAGCTATAGCTAACTTGTTCCCAAAAGATGTTTGTGCAACTTCTTAACATCCAAGAGCTTGCAGATCTGCAGCATACCAGGCAACATTTTCCTGCAGCTTTTTATGCTTACCATAAGAAACTGTCTTACTTCCATGCCTAAAGTTGTATTGGATATTAATAGCACCTGTGAGAGCTTGACTTTTGTTCTGGTGGACCTAGTGCAGTATCTGGAGCCTGGGTTTAAAATTTGTAGATCAGTTGTGTTAAGGCTTCTGCAGAGTGATGTCTTAGGTACAGTCTCACTTAAAAGCGTAAAGGATATATTGCAATACCTTAGCTATAATTTTTAATGAAATCTATCTGTGGTTAAGCACACGAGTTTCCCATTTTGCCCAAACCCATAGATAGTTTGTCCCCAAAATACACCTGACTGCTGTGCAGTGGGGGTATGAGGAAGGTTTCCTAAATGAGTGGGTTCCTAAAATAACTTCCTGATTGCTGGCTCAAGTTCCAGATACAGTAGGATGAAATTCCATTTGACTCGGTCATCTTTAGGTTCCTTGTAATATAATGTGATATAAAATTTTCTTGTTACTATTGTTAATATTCTGTACATACAAAGAAAACAATTCTTAGTTGATAGGTCATACCGTTATTTGAGGCTTTAAAACTTTAGGGCAAGGCTCCTCTGTTTTCTTGAACTAGTTGGTAATTGGTTTATGAAAAATGGATAAAGATATGTTTTGAAAACACTGCTATTCTTGACTGTTTTCTAGCAGGATTGCTGTCTGAGCAGATGTAGACAGCTGGATTATTATTTTTTAACCCACCAATGCAGAATCCTCAGTATAACCTTCTGCATCTTCTCACTGAAGAAATTTATACACACCGTTGTCTCTGGGTTAAACATTCAGAAGTCCTGGATATTGAAGGAGGTTAATACTTCAGCTTTTGTTTAGAATACTTCAGGCCACCTGTATCCCATTAAATGAGAGAACATAAAGGGACCATTAAGGTGGTAGTTCTTACAGTTTAGCAGGTGTGCTGTCATGGTACTCTGAGCAAGTGTATCACAATATGGCTTTAGAGACCAATGGCTTAAAAACACCTATTAACAGTTTCATTGTAGATGCTGGAGCTAATTGATAAAGGTTTATTAGGTGCCGGGTGCAAGATGAAGTATTAGTTCATAACAATAATAGCTGTGGAGGATTTGCATCCATTTCTCCATAGGGCAGACTGTTGAGCGCATTCAGGAGTTGCTACAGCCTAGCTGGAATGCACAAAGTCATTAGACTGCAAGAATCTGACTGTGTCTGAGACCTTGCCAAGATGACTGCAGAGATACAAGGAATTACTTGTTCAATCCCTGTTCAGTGCTTGCTGAAAGCTTCAGTGATCTATGGAGAAGAATTCTCAGGAGTAGGTTCTCAGGTATCCATCATGACTGCTGAGGACTCGTATCTCCTGACATGTAGTTTGTAGTGTAAATGTGGCCGGCATCATGCTGTAATGGTCTGTATGAATTAAGTCTCTTCTCTTAACACAACTGCGTATTTTTTACAACTGCTGGGGAATAGCTGGCTGTTGTTGTAAAACTGGGAGGTGTGCCTTCAGACAGAAGAGTGCATGTATAGATTAGAAAGTGTTCACATGCACAGATAGATCATTTAAGTCAGTGGTGTTTGGCACAGATGGTGGAGTCATAAAGCTTGTGACTGAACTACTGTCTTCACTCCTTATTCTGCTACTGTTTAGAGCATTCACATGCCTTAATGGCATTTCCCTCCCCCCTCTACTTCCCTACAGCTGTATGGTGTTCGGAAGGCTGCAGGAGCTGGTCCAATATGTCCGCTTTCCAATCCCAAAACTTGCTGGGATATAGGTGCTGATGTTAAGCCAGCTTGAAGGCTGAGGAGCAATGACTGATTTTTAACTGCAGTTGTGTTCTGTCTGGCTAGCATGATTGTGTTCTGGGGAGGTCTCTACTTAGCTAGGAGTATATGCTAACTTTCACATACTGCTAGGTCAGCGAAATTACTTTCTGGGCCATGTGTTGCCTTGTTTTGAACCATCCTATTGATGGCTTGGTTTTGGGGTGTTTTTTTGTTTTGTTCTTTCTAACCTAGATACTCAATTGTGAAGTGGATCAGGGACTACTTATCTGCAGTCTTCTACTAGCAGAAAAGCAGTGGCAGCAACCTCTGTTTACAGTACTAAAGGTTTCCCTGAATTAGCTGTCTGTAGTCATGTTACAAGTAAGGTGAAGTCTGCACACTTTCAGATAACTTTATGTACTAAAATATTTTGGTGTCTACATTCCTTTCCCTTAATTGAAAGCTGCATTTCAGTAGGTGAAAGTTCTGTTCAGACTACCTTATGTGGTAAGCAGATCTCCAAGAATGGTGTTGGGGAATATACTGCAGAAAATGAGCAGAATTCCTTCATTTTGAGAAAAGTAATACTTGAGCCATTTATTCTTTTCGAAGCTGTGGCTTTATCCTGAGCAGAAGGAATTTGACTGCAAGATCTAGCTAATCTACACAGTTCAGGAGCTTTTCATCAATTTAATGAGATGACTATCTCAATGTGATAGTCACGCTGATCCAATAACAAAGTATTAGTCCTTTTCCAGCCGCAGACAAAAGTGTTTGTTTTTCCCGACATCTCCCTGAATATCTAATTTCTAAGAGTTTTCTAGTTAGAGATCCCATCTGTATCTGATCTTCTCGCTGCTTTTCTCCTGTTTTTTATGTTGCATTACCTGCATGCTAAAAAAGGGTAATGTATCCCCCTCTCTTTGAAACACTTTACTGCATGACACTAGAGAACACATGGAATTAGGCAGTTTCTTTTTTTCTTTTAAAGATTCAATTTGGAACGTAAGTCTGCAGTTCCAAAACTCTTGTACCAAGCAATATTGTCACACCTTAAAACCTAGTATTTGGTTTACAAACAGGCATGTGTCAAGTCCAAATTTGTTTTCCTATTACCAATGTGAAAAAAGGCTTTTTTCACTTAAATTAATTCAGTCAATTCAATTTGAATTGAAAATTGATTATATATTTGATAAAGCAGTTGTTATAAATGCCTTCTTTCAGAGGCAGCTTGTCTAAGACGGGTGTTGCTTGGACTTCACTAATGTTTTTCTCAACTGTAATCACTCTTTCTAAGAACAAATCTGAAAGTTTCTTTACTCAGAATTTCAAATTGTGTTAGAACTGCAAAAGAAAAACATTTACTTCTGAGTAATTTTGATGGTCTAAAAATTCATGTTTCTTGCAAACAGATGAAAGAACCATAATTAATCTCTTAAATAGGTTTCCAAGAATATATGTAAAGTTTTCTAATGTTCTTGAATATCTTAAGATTGCTTCAGACTTTTGGTCATGGTGTGTATGTGAACTAAATTAGGTTACTGTGTCATGGAAGGCTGTGCTACTGTATGTAATTACTACTGAGTTTAGTTACTTTTTATTACCTGATAACGCAGTTCCTGTGATTGAAAGCTTCATGGCAAATGCTGTTTACTGTGCAGACAAAAATACTCAGGGTCAGGTTAATTATTACCTTGTAATAATTAACTACTGTCAACAGTCTAAGTTCATCATAACATGTTCTACTTAGATCACTAAATGAATGTGTAGCTTGTCAAATATAGCAAGGTAAAGAAAATGTAGTGGTTCACATCTAATAGCTGGACATTGTACTTATTGCTGTATTTCAGCTTGTCTGTAATTAATACTATTCATGTAAGCTTGGATGTAATGCTATCACTTCTTAAAATCTGGTTGGAGAGCCACAATAGGAAAGGATCATGACTCTCTTCAGAATGCATAGTAAGCCCAGCTTTCTATTTTTCTCCTTCAGAAGGAAGGTAAAAACAGACTTAAAGACTTGTAGGTAATAAATAAGATAAAACTGAAGTAGAAGGATGAGTAATCAGCAGCACGTTCTCTTCTTAAGTGGGCACCTAGAGTTAAGAGGGGGGGGAAAGCTATGCAAAGCCATTATAATCTTGATTCAAAGCAATGATAATTCTTTAGAAACTATGTGACATCTTTAAAAGTTCTATTTAAACACCATAGGTCTGGTACACTAGTTAAAAAAGATTACTAATTTCCCTACTTATTGTTGTCTAGTGTAGACATCTGCTGAGGTATCCCATTCAGAAGAAACATGAGAAGAAATCAAATACAGCATCAAGCAATAAGTGTCTGTATGTGTTAATACCCAGTAGAGGATTGTTTCAGGCAATGTAGGGTCATAAGTGGTGAAGCTGTAGAATAAAACTTGAGTGAAGAGAATATTCTGAACTGATTAAGTTAGTTTATTTTGAACTTATACAGCTTTTTGGAGGTCTTTGACTGTATGTATTTGACAGCACCTTTTATATGCCCGTGAACACATAACCTGTTTCTGATGGTTCTGTAAAACTGGTGGAGTGAAGCTAATACTGTTGGATTGACTTTTCAGAGACCATACTTCTCTTTGGAAAAAGTCACATTTAATAGTATGCTGAGCTCTAAGAGTTCATGCTTGGATAGGCAAAGTAGCAGAAGAAGCAGCAGTCCTAACTATAAAATAATTTTTTTGTTTAAAAAAAAAAAAAAAACCACACAAAAAAAACCAAAAAAAAACCCAACCCAAACCTATTTCCTTTAAAAAAAAAAAAAGCCCCAAACACAAGACCAAAACCAAAGCTTAGGTAGGAGTCACTTCTGTGGGCATATTATAAGAAGCTTCCCACTGCAACAGCAGCTTTCTAACAGTCCTTTACAGGTTAGAGCATTTGACCGCTTTATTTTGCGTGTTTAAATTAACAACTTAGTTGAGACTATTCTGTGAATGTAGCAATGCGGACTTCTCTTTCTTTTATGATTAGACTTTTAGTTCCCTACTCTGAAGCATTTGCTGGCTTTTTAATTTTATTTTTTTTTCAAATTATTTTTAATGGCATCACTGGCCTCCCTAGAAACATCCAACTAGAAGGGATGCCTCAAAGTTTTCCCACCCCCACCCAAGTGCTTATTTAAAGATAAGTACTTATATAAGGGGAGTTTCTGTCAATCTGTAGATCAGGCGTTTTGGACCTCTGACTTTTCTGGGCCAAGCATGTTTCAGTACATTTATGATAGGAACTAACTTCTGAATTCAGTTCTTCCTATTCTTCATATTTATTTCTTGAGTATGCATTTTGATAATCTATAGGGACTACCACATAATGATATCTTTTTGTCTGCTGCTGAATTCTCTCACTTGTTGTTAGAGAATAGTGGCTGTATAATTCAGGATAGAAGTCCAACTGAAATCTTTTGTGGGATAACTAGTCTTTTAAAGAGATTAAAGACTCTTCTACAAGAGTAGTTAGCCACAGAAACACTTCTCTGATCTGCAATGTGAGAGTTGCTTTTATAACAAAGAAAACTGGAAAACCTATTTGGTGGCAGGATTGTTAATTTCTGGGTATATTTCTACTTCTTGTGTTAAAAAAAACCAACCTTCCCCCCTCTCTTGATTTGAATTCCTTTAATGGTCTTCTCTCTGTAGCTTAAACTTCAAAATATTTTGTGTCAGCTGGTTTAGTAATGTAAACAATTTAACTTTTATCTTCCATTTGTATGCCTTGAGATATCTGCAGATGTATTATGTAGTATGCGTAAAATAGCCTGTCTTGTTCTTAATAGTTCAGTGAAAAATCATACAGCAAACTGTTTTTCTCATCTCCTTATATTTTTCATTCTCCTTACCCTTGTGCTTCCTGGAAACCTCAATTTTGGCCAGCAACTTAGAGGTCACCAGAGGTGGGATTTGATTTTGTTTTTGAAGTAGTAAGTCCAATTGCTGCTTGCAAGCCTCTACTCCAAGAGGAAAAATCCATCAGCTGCTAGTAACTTTGTAAATTGTCTCCCAGGCTAAGGCCAGATAGGTTATGGGAAGACCAAAGGAGTTACGGGGCAAAGCTTGTGTCCTGCTTGAAGGATGTTTATTTCTTTTATGGGTAGCCTGGACAATAGCGTACTAGACAGTAGTGACAGGATTAGTTTTGCATCATGCATTGAGCACTGTTTCTCCCAAGCAGAAGACTTGGGGGAAGGCAGGTCCCGGCTAATAACCTGAATAGTTCACTTCAGACTCATAGTGACATCTGCTTTCTATGGTTTCTCTTTTAGTTTAAATAAAGGAATACTCGCTAAACTGTTCACAAAGTCTTGCATGGTAGTCCCAGTCCTTACAGAGGCATTTAAATGTTATGGGGAAGAAATAAAGATCTAAGTCTTAACTGACTGAGGTTACTTGCAAAACATAATTTGTACTTAATAAGCATTGTATAAAACTGGCATATATGGTTTGCTTGTTTTTTGCTTGTCTTTTGTGTCTGTATGTGTGGTATTCACAGCAGTGTTGTTTTGCAGACAATGGTACATGGACTCAGCTGTGGTTGGTGTCAGACTATCATGAGCATGGATCACTCTTTGATTACCTGAACAGGTATACAGTAACAGTGGAAGGAATGATAAAATTAGCTTTGTCCACTGCCAGTGGTCTTGCTCATCTTCACATGGAAATTGTTGGCACACAAGGTAATCTTACAACTATTCAGCCTGGCGTGTGGATAATACTGGATTTATTTAAAATGACACATATGTAGCTCTTTTTACTATAATTCTCTTAATTAGAACATCCAACCTTTTCAGGGTGCAGTTGCTTTGCACACAGCTATTTACTTATGTGATGAGAAGGCAGCTGAATTCAGCACAGGTACCCAATTTAATTCCCTGTGGAGCTGAGTGAATTGAAAATTGTCTGTTTGGGACCTGTGATAATTTCTGAACTAATAGAATTTCTGAATTTGGAGGGTGTTTTACCTTGCTTTCTATGGTATACCCAGGTTTTGTGATGTAACAGTCCTTCCTACAAAACAGCTATTAAAAGGCACTAAGTAATGGTCCCTATAGTATCTTCTTAACTTTGATTTGAGACAGCACTATGGGTCTATTTCCAGAGACATTAGAAACCTTTTTTGTGGCAAGTAGTATGTGTACACAATAGATACTTGCAGGAAGAGGGAAAGGAACAGTAGAGACCTAACGTGCTTTTCTGGACAACCACAATGAATGATTTCAGGAGTTACCTTCGTGCACATAAAACAGCAGAACTGGAAGGAATTCTGTAACTTTAAACAAAATCAGCACCAGGCTTAGAGCAATAGCAATTATGTTTTTCACAGATGTGTTATTTCTGGGTTGTTTTTTTTCCCTTACAGGCAAACCAGCGATTGCCCACAGAGATTTGAAATCAAAAAATATATTGGTAAAAAAGAACGGAACATGCTGCATTGCAGACCTAGGATTGGCAGTTAGGCACGATTCAGCTACAGACACAATTGATATTGCCCCAAACCACAGAGTGGGAACAAAAAGGTAAAACCATTAACGTGATCTGTTGGGCCACTTTTATTATAAAATGCTTTGTTTTTTCTTGTCCCATACAGAAGATTTTTGTGGGTACAGACACAAGCAGCAGGAAAACATAAGTACTGGCAGGTAGAGTTCCTGGGTACTTCCTTGCCAGCTGGTAACTTAATTAAACTGTAGATGCTTTAAAAGCTTATTGAATCTTGGCATCTATTACTAGCATGTGTAAAATAGCAAAAACCTGCAAAATATTGTAAGGCACAAGTATATATTAAAACAATTAGGAGACTTTGTGAATGACAATTTTAAAGGCTTCACTCCTCTAGCTATTTTCTTTTTGTTTTGTGTTGCATGGAAGTGTTGCTTGCAGCCCAGTCTGGAGCTTAAGACAGGGTATTGACAGTCAGAGTAAAACACTGGATTTTTTTTTCCGTGTGAAGCCTATGTGATAGAGCATACAAGGTGCAGAGTTTTGGACATGGGCTTTTGTGGGATCATATTTTTGAGAGAAATACAAGAACTTAAAACAGCAGTCATCTTTGTTATCTAATACATACATAGAATTATCAATGGATGAGTCGATATACTCCCTTTCTTTTAAAGGCCTACTTCTGAATTTGGAAATACAGATCTTCTTGTCCTCAAAAGAACTCAGAGCAACATCAGAACTCATCAACAGAAGTGCAATTAAACTTATTACCTCTAAGTAATCATTGCTAGGCTTTCAGACAACAATAACTGGAAACTGTTCTGAAGAGATTAATTTCCTTTAGTAATCTGCAGCCATACAGAGATAGCAGCACTAACAGTGAACCACAGCAACAGAGATGTGTGATGTGGGCAACTCTTTGTCCTTTTGATGCCTGCAGGTTCAGTGGTATGTCAAACTGAAGTTTGTCATGGGGAAGTGTGTGGAAGCCCAGTGGCTCAGGGCTGTACATGATTAACTTCAGCGTATACTCTAGCAGTGTTGGAGAAAATTCTGTGTTTATGTTGCCCAACCTTCAATCAGTACATAAAAAAATACTGGGTTTATCTCTCTCTTTAGTGAGTGATACTGTGGGGGAGTGGGCGGGGTGTGATTGGGATTTTACGATGAACTAGGATGCCCCCTTAGCTGTGGCTTTTTGGAAGGAAAAAAAAAAATTTAAGGCTCAGTGAACAAAAGCTTTCAGAATATTTGCTGAAAACTTACTGACAAGTCTGTTGCTGAAATTACATTGTTCTAAAGCTCTGCTGTACTAGGCCTTTGCCAACTAAAAATACCACACAAATGGTCAGATGAGATTCACTTTTTGAACTACTACCAGATTACAAAATTGTTCCTTCTTAAAATCTCCAGTAGTCATTGGTAGTAAAACAGCAGACTATGGAATTTGTCATTGCAGACTTAGCTGCGTGCAAGGTGCATACCACATGTGACTTAGTCTTTTCTACTGCACCTACATGCAAAGAAAAATTATGTGCAAATCAGTTATTCTTAGTCTAGTCTTTGGAGAAAGCATCCTTTCAGCTGTGTCTATAGATCACACTTAGAAGACCTCTTCTTGCGTAGGTGCTACTAAATTGGTTGTTCATCTGCCTTAACAGTAAAGCTGTAGCAGCTGTCTTGCTTGCTGCCAGGGGGCAAAAGCAGGATGAAGTCTGTTTCTCACTTTAAAGACATTAGTCACTTCTACCCCTCTGAAAATTGCCCATTCTCATAAAATTCTTTGTCCCCTCTTCTTCGCTCTTGTGCATTCTTCATTGAGTAACTCTGCACTTCTAGTTAATTTTTCATAATAAAGCTCAGATCTTACCTGTTCAATGACAATTTTAACTCCCATTGATTGCCTCTGCTGGTACCTCTTCCGCACATGGAAGCTCTGTGCGCAAGTTCAGGGAGATTTGTCAAAGCTTCTATTTTTCTAATGATTGTCTGTTGTGAAAAATGTATGGTCTAGGGAATAAGCAAGACTCACTCTTGGGTGATGATCTAGGTGCTGAATCAGACTCATTATCCTTCTCTCTGACTGAATGAATCTTTATTTCTTTTCTATTCAGAGGCTTAGTTTTACCAGAAGGTGTGAACTGTGTGCTCAGCCTGCAACATAAAGAAGGGAATGTGAGCTTTAAACTGAGAAGGAAATAGAATCTCTCTCACACTCCCTGAGGCAAGTTTTTTAAAAAAAAAAAAAAAGACAATTTTTTTTTTTTTTTGAGAAATATGGCCCAACTGTTATGTTTGGTAGTTGAAAAGGGCTGTGTTTAAAAGAAGTTTGGCTGTGAATTCCACCTTAACGTGGCTGCTTTTCTGCAGTTTACCTAAATGCAATATGAGCAGAATTCTAGCTATGCTTGTGGAGAACAGGCTTGGTGAAGGGAGATGTCACACTCAACATGTTGTGTACAGCTCCTGTTTGATAACACCAGGCGCTCTATATGCTGTACAAGAAATTTAGGCAAGTAATACAGAGCTGTTGGACTAAAAGGGGTGGGGAAGAGGTCAGCAGGCACCTGAAGTTTGGCAAGACCATGTTCAACATAATTGTAAACTGCTTTGTAGACTTATCCTTTAATTCTTGGAGGGTACTGAGCTGCTGACTTTGTTCAGAGGTCGAAATCTACGTAGAGTAGTTCTGTCCAGAACCTGAAATTCTGTTTCTGACAAGCAATGCATTTCCAATATATAAGCTGACAAGGAGATGCATGTTTCTATCCCTTCTGTCTGATAGCCGTGAAATGGCTAATCTGCTAACTGCACCAGATGACCTACTTGCCTTTCGCCTCTCTTGTTCCAGCAATAATCTCTCAGACTTTTTGAGCAGTCAGTCACCATTTTGAGTTATGGAAGCTAAAGCCAATCTAAATGCATTGATGGAGGATCATGGTAAGAGGTCAATTTACCAATAAATTCAATGGAACTCACATTTCATGGGGGGGATTTTTTTTTTTCTTTTGAGGGTTTCAATTCAGCTCCATTGCCACATTCAGGCCTTTCCTGTTAAAGCCGTTGTCCTTAGGATGATTTACAGAAGCTGAGGTGATCTCCTTTACTGCTTGTATAAGTGATTCTGGCTGACAGTCTTGCAACGTGGTTGGGGTTTTTAGTTTGGTGCTTTTCCAGCTCCATCACTCTTCTCATTCCCCTGTGATCCCAAGATAGATAAAATATTCTTTCCAGACCCAAAGCTGATAACTATACTGTCAAGTAATTGAAGTAGCATAAGAAGATTATCCAATAACACAAAATCCTTGGAAAGCATTAAAACACCCACCACAATCTTGCATTCTTGATTAAAGTTTTTGATATGGGTGCCCCAGAATAATTTGAGCCTTGCCCTTATCAAAGATTGTGACGTATGTAAACTTAAGACTCTGCTTCCATTTAATAAATACTGTCAAAGTAAACCTCTTCAGACAGTTGTCCTCTACTTGTGCTGTGCTATCACTTGTGGGGAATTTATATGCCTGTACAGTGCTTAGGAGAAATCTCATGTCAGCAACCCTTGTTGAAGTTCAGGACTACTGGTTGTGTTTTTGCTCTTTTGTTGATAGCCCTTGCTTCCTTGTGTGTATGTCATTTCCATAAGACACAGTAGCGCTGAGAGAGTTCTGAAAGATCTGATAGTCCTGAAACTTATTTTAAGTAGTGTGTGTTGTATTCTGCCTACCATCCCTGGTACTAGGAAAAGATAATCCTAGTAGTATGTTGATTAAATGAAACTGTGCATAGGCTTCTGCAGCTGCTCCGGAGGTTGGGCTATTGCATAGGTTACTGGAGTGGAATACAGTGTCGGGCATATTTCTTTTTTACCAGTTACCCGTGTTCTCTGAAGCCCTGGTGTTACTGTTTGCCTGCTTCATTAATATGTCAGCTTGAGATTGATGGGGCAGCGATGTGGAGAAACACTCTAAAAACTCTGTTAAACATTACATATTGGACTTAGCTGCCAGAACTATACCAGATTGAGAGTGCAATACTACAACTGATGTTGACTGATACAGCAAATACCATTCATTCTTTCCAGCAGCCAGCGGGGATGCTGCTGTCAGTAACGCTCACAATGTGATCCACACTGACATTTTGCTTGATGTTACCACTTTAGGCCTAGTCACTAAACAAGGTAGCAATAACTTGGATGCCATGCCAGTTTTCAGTCCCTGTTTCTCAGCTGAAAGTCTGTCACAGATTTTTGTAGCACACGAAATGTTGATAAAGTAAACTTTTCTTGTGAGCACAGTTGTTAATGTGTAACCCAAAGAGGATTTAATATTAAAAAAAAAAAGCCTGGCACATCTGTATGATGAAGAGTCAGTCACTGCAGTGGTAGGGAGGCTTTTTTCCCCAAGGAATCATTAACAGTGCTGCTTTTTTAACCAGCCTTTCATGTCTCTCTTCTCTCTAGTCATGATAGGGGATATTATAAGTGGCTGCTATATCTTGGCAGATTCCAGGAGCTGGGGCTTCCTCCTGTCTGGCCTCTGGAGCCCAGCCTGATGTGTCCAAAGGGCTGGGGCTCTATCCATCCCAGGCCCATGGATGTGCCTGCTGTTTTCTTACTTGGAATTCAACCAGTACTGAGGCTGGGCATACACAGACACACACAATACTGACAGGGCTGATGACACCGATTGCTATAAACTATGTGCTGTCTTCAATATCCACATAAAACACTGTTAGAACTTGTATAAATATAAGTATAGATGGCCAAGTCTCCTTCCTTCTCTTCAGCTGATCAGGATTGAACTTCATTAATGAAAACACACATGCCCTTCTGTAGCCTCACAAGGCCATGCATATTTATTTATCAATCCCTTAACTATCAGTACAACCCTCAGTGTGTCTAGTGCCCTTTTCTGTGTTCCGTATACTCGCTGGCTCATACTGACCATGGTCTCATACTCACCAGCTCTGCTGGGTTAATGCACAGTAGCACACCTGTATGTGTGTATTCTGTCGAATACCAGTGCAAGTTCTCCCCCTGTCAGACATCCCTGCCTGGGCTACCTATTTGCTGGCTAGACCAGCTTGAAGTTTGCTAGTGAGTTACACCCATGCACACCTGCCATGCAGGTTTGGGGAAAATACAAACCTTCCAGCCCACCCCAGCAGCTGGCATCCATGTGTATAGCCCTTAAGACCTGTGATTGCCACTCCAATTGCTGGTGCTGAGAGACCCTTACTCTGCTTCTCCAATCCCAGTTCTCCCCTGTAGCTGGTACCTGTAAGCATGTGACTGAAGCCTGTGACCCGTGGTCCCACTTCAGTGGCTGAAGCAGAGACCCTCATTTGCTCCAGTTGCTGGCACCAGGGGTGCCCTCAGCTCCAGTCTGATTGTGGTTGCTGGCCTAGAATTCATTCACACTGGCAGCTCCAGATACATCCTAAGACCTGTGGACATGTTCTCCTAGGATCTGCAGTTCCCCTTCCAGCTGTTGATGCCCAGATCCCCCCCTTCTTTCCAGTTGCTTGTGTCTCAGGCCCAAGGGCAACTTCATCCCTGGTCTGACTGCAGTTGCTAGCCCTGAATTCACTCGTGCCTGCCTCCAGTTGCTGACATGTAGTCCTTAGAGCACACGTGCACATGAGGTTGAGAGTGAGATTGCATAGAAGGATAGTCAGGATTTAATGAGAAGGTAGGACACACTGCAGTGAGCTGATGCAGGGTTTAGTCACGCAAACATAGTGACTGGCAACTGTTTATGCAACCGGGCCCTTAGATATCCTTTTGCCCTGCTTCTGTTCTTCCCGGTTACCCTTCTCCTAAACATTCCTTAATAAGCATTACGTACTCCCATAGGCCTTCCTTGAATGTGTACAATCCTCATGTTCCTTTTGTTTCCTACTTATTAGCAGTTACAATGTCCAGACTGGCTTTCTCTAAAGCTACACCTGGCATTTCTTAACAGCCCATCAGTTAGCAACTGGAGACTTTTAGTCTTTGTTATCCTGTGTCTATCAGGTTTATGGCTCTATGTGTTTATCGTTTCATGTTTTACTTATTCCCCCTATTCCTTTGATTGTTCCTCTCAGTATACGTATTACCCCCTTTGCACTGAAAGGTCTTTGATTGGATAACCTTAATGAAGCAGATTTTCCTTTGTCTCCTTTTCCACATAAATATTTAAACCTGGTTTTGAGCTGATCAGTAGCACTGAACTTTCTCTACAAGTATTTATGAAATAAAATGTTTTCTCTTTTTTTATTGCAAATAGGTACATGGCACCCGAGGTTCTAGATGATTCCATAAATATGAAACATTTTGAGTCGTTCAAACGAGCAGACATCTATGCAATGGGATTAGTGTTTTGGGAAATAGCTCGGCGATGTTCAATTGGTGGTATGTTGCAATCTTTACAAAATTGGACATGCTAAGGAGTTATAAGTAACTTGCAGAACCTGAATAAGTTTGAGTAAACAGTTTGCTCTAAAAACGGTGCAAGGTAGTAGCCCATATGTCTCAGACTTTCTAACTGTTAATCCTGTAAATGATGACTAGTTTATTCAACCTCTTTGTAAATTGATGATCCATACCCGTTGAAGAAAATAGGAAATATCTTTGTCTATGTTACTTTTTTCTAAAACCTTTGCATAGAGGTGAGAAAAGAGTGAAGTTAAATGTCCTTGAGAGTAAGGAGCAAACAAAAGTAAGGGTTAGCTATAATGTGTTCAGATAACACCCATACGTTATTGAAAATAAAACATGCTATTATAAATCATGCTTCCAAGAAGTGTATCTTTAATATAACATATGAAAGATTTGACATAGCTTCCATCTTTTCCAAATACATAAATCTCAAAATTAAAAATTCTTCAAGGGTAACGTAAATACTCTTAAGGTATGGTTAAGGATTCTTTTTTTAATGTATTTATCAGTCATTGTAATGTCACTTTTAAAAATGAAAACCAAAAAAGAAAATGGTAGGGTACTGATAAGGAATACAGTAAAAAGTGAAGAACATGTAATTTAGTGTTAACTAAAATATAGTTATTTTCAATCTATTACAGGAATCCATGAAGATTACCAGTTGCCATACTATGACCTCGTTCCTTCAGATCCTTCTGTTGAAGAAATGAGGAAAGTTGTGTGTGAGCAGAAGTTAAGGCCCAATATTCCAAACAGATGGCAGAGCTGTGAGGTATTAACTAACCTTGCTAAAGCTGCTTTAATGGACACTAGAGCTTTTCTTGATTTCAGTGGCTTAAAAATTGTGGTTGTTGTTGAAGGGAGAAGGGCTGCTTCTAGGAGAATTGAATTGCATTCTGACCATTGAGGCTTTATTGAATGTTATTGATACTTGGTTGCACATTAATATTTAATGTAACTTCACAAAAAATAATAGATAGCCCTGCATGGAGCATTCTAGGATCGCTTCCTGTGAAACATAGGTGATAATAATGTAAATTAAAGCTAGTCTGATTTAAACAGTTATACAGGAAGCGTCATTGCAAATAAATTGTGCAACTGGGGCTTGTACTGTGTTTGGCTAGGACTGAGTTAACTTTCTTCATAGTGGCCTGTATGGTGCTGCATTTTGGACTTGTGACCAAAACAGTTCAATAGCACGCCAATGTTTTAGCTATTGCTGAACAGTGCTCGCACAGCTTCGAGGCTTTCTCCATTTCTCACTCTGGCCCTCCCCCGCCCCAGCCTACTTCTGAGTAGGCTGAGGGTGGACAAGAGGCTGAGAGAAAACGCAACTGGGACAGCTGACCCAAGTTGATCAGAGGGATATTGCATACCATGCAACGTCATGCTCAGCAATAAAACTGGAGGAGGGGGGAGTTTTCCAGGGGTTGCTGTTGCTCAGGGACTGGCTGGGTATCGATCAGGTGGCGGTAAGCAATTGGATTTGTGTCACTTGTTTGTCTTTGTTTTGGCTTGGTTTTCCCCTTTGCCTATTGAGCTGTCTTTATCTCAACCCACACACTTTCTCACTTTTGCCCTCCTGACTCTCTCACCCATCCCACTGCGGGTGAGTGAGTGGCTGTGTGGGGCTTAGCTGCCCACTGGGATTAACCCACAACAGGAGCAAAGATATGTCAGCTGATCAGGCCTGTGCTAATTGTTTTGTAACTAGACTGGTTATCTCTTTCAAGAAGTGGACTTGCTAGTTTCAGCTCAGTACTCTGCCAGCACAGCAGTACTGCTTGTTGGGAGACAAATTACATTCTTCAACAGTGCTCTGTTGCCTCATGTCAATGCTCAATTGGAACTCGCTCACTCGACAGTCTTTGCCCTGTCATTGTGTAGCAAAAGAATATCCTACAGACTTGCCAAAATAGTAAATGCCTTTAGGAATTTGAATCTAAAACTCTGGTGGTCTTCGTACTTTGTGTGTCTCAGAACTTGTACTGTATGCATTTACTGAAAGATGAACACAGTTATTAGGAAGCTGAGGCTCTAGTAAGTTAAAGACTTAGAACTGAAGTGTGCTTGTAGTGACCCCTCCTAACTATGCCTCTGTAGAAGTGCTTACATCATTCTGGGGTGAATTCATTATGCTGGTAGTCACTGCATGGGCAGTAGTACGCACACCAGTGAGCTCTTGCCTTTCCAGCCAGGTTTGTTCATATTGCTTGCGCTAGGAACCCAACTAAGGCTAGAACCAATGCTTGCTGATTCAGAGCTTAGGAGAATAGCTGTGGTAGCCTACAGTAGGAGTAAGAGATTGATGAGGTACGGTGTACTTCAGATGGAAGAGGGAACTGTTTTGTGGCATGTGTAAAATGAATACATGGGTGAAGGCCTGAGATAAAGAGATTGGTCAAGAGGACACAGGTAGGAGAGAAGGGCAATGATCCACACCAACAGACTGCAGAGTCGTTTTTCAAATGCTGCCGTTCCAGTCCTGCAGACTTACTTAACAGCTTAATGTAATACAGCTTTGAGTGTAAAATCTTGGAATGTAGAGCTATTGCTTTATTTCATCTTCAGTTTTTATTATTTGCATTGTTACTTATGTAGTAGTGTTCACAGATTTCAAAGAATGGATGTTTGAAGGATAAAAAGACTCCAAAAATTTTCAGAGTCATTACAGACCTTCAATTGGAGGAAGACACCAGATAAACTTCTAAATTGCTATACATTGAACTAACTCCTTAAAAAGCAATTTCTGAGTAAAGGAAGTGACCGAGTACGTTCCCAGCTACACAGTAGTTCTATGCTAATACAAAGTACCTCCTAATTTATTACTGCTTTTCAACTGGAGATACAATAAAAAAGAGTGTATTTTTGTCTAATGCAAAAATTCAGAAAACAGTCACAGAGAAGCTACTAATTTTTCATTAAAATATTTTTGCCTGGGCTGAAATTCTACTGAAAAATACTAGTTCTGCTTTACAATATTTTAAAGAATTTTATTTTTCTGTAAATAAAGTAAGAATTTGAGTTTTATACAACAGTCTTCCATGCAGCTGTAGTACTTGTAATAGACTTCAAAAATGCATGAAGAAGCTCATGCAGGACAGAGCTTACATGGGCTACATTGGAACAGCAGTACAAATAATTTCTTGTCTTTCCTTTGCAGGCATTACGAGTAATGGCAAAAATTATGCGGGAATGCTGGTATGCCAACGGAGCTGCTAGGCTAACAGCTTTGCGCATTAAGAAAACATTATCGCAACTTAGTCAACAGGAGGGGATAAAGATGTAATCCTGGATTTGCTACCGAAGAATACTGTAAAAAATCCATATCTGCACCAGTGGCATGTTAAGAAGGTTAATTGTTCTACCTCACTGGGGGAACAGAAGGATATTGCTGCCTTTTAGTACTTCATAGGAACATCACTTATTAGGATTTTGTGGACGTGCTAAACAGTTGTGTTGGGTCCTTTCTGTGCACTATGAACCTCTTTCCCAGGTTACTTACTAAACATTGTGTAGTCTAGTTTTATTTTTATTAACCTATAATTTTTTATTTGTAAAGTTGATAGCTGGTCTTAACTTCTAGTTAACTGTGCTACAAACAGGAGGTCACTTCTAAAATGGAACTGGTTCACTATATTCTAGAGTGTATTGATGGCTCTTTAAGCAACTTTATTCCTGGCTGGTACATTGACTATTCTGAACCACTGTCACAGTTCTTTGATTCAGATTGTGAATGTACTGTTGGAGTATACTTTGCTAGCTATTAAGGTAGTATAGCATTTGGACTCTTACCTTGATTTGCAAATTGACCTCATTCAGTTGTGGGAACATAATTTATGCAACTATACTTTATACATGATTACTGGGGTTGGTTTTTTTCCACTTTTTCAGAACCTTACATTACCTTCAAAATAGATTGTATTACACCAGTAAGTGCCGCTTTTGAGTCTTTTAATGCAAAACAGTAGGAGCGTACAAAGCCTATGGTACTCTTGGTTTCAAAAATACAAGTTAAAAATCAACCGTTCAACTGCATAGCTAAGATCTAATTCAGACTCGTTTCAGCAAGTGGATTCATGGAATGCCTTTAATTTTACCAAAATCTGACTCTTCAAACCACTGTAGGAGTTTTAAATAGTGTAAGCTAGTTAATTCACTGTTGTATTTTGTAATTGTAGCAAGAGGAGTAAGGTGCTCTTAAGGGACATTTTGCTCCATTAAATCAAATATGAAAGGCATATTTTCTGTGCAGTTCCACAGAGTCTTAAGGCTCAAAGAACGATATTTGCAATTAAACAAGGATTAAGTGCACCTGTAATTAGGGAGAAATTATTTGGGCTTTTGTACTAGAAAGTTCAAAGCTGCTTATAAATTTTATGTGCATTTTTTTTTGTGTGTGTGTGCCTCATACACAGAAAGTGGTGAGCTATAGAAAGTGGTGAGCTGCAGGTCTTTGGATACAAATACTAGAGGATTTCAGCAATCCTCTTCGTAGTTACAAGAACAAAGCTTATGGTGGCTTGTGTTGTCATAAGAACACAGAAGAATATGCATGGCTTTAGTCAAGATTTGCCTGCGATTTTAAGGATATCACAAGGTTTTTGCAAACTTCTTTAGAAATTGAATTGCTTCCTGCCCAAATGTACAACTTCTGGAGGGGACTGGAGGAATTAATATGGAAAATTCTCTTTAAAATCTGCTGTTACCAATGTTTTTTTGGTTTTTTTTTTCACTTGCAGTTTTAGGAGGAGTCTGGTTGACCTTTGTTGTCATTGATGCCTGAAACACTCAGTAAACACTCAGTTCACTAGGTAAATGTGCCTGGTAATTAGTATGCCACCTATTCTCCAGAACACATCAGTATCGATCCTATTATGCGACACACAGGCAACATTAACTCTGCTTCTTTTTCATTCTTCAGCATACGGTCCACTGAGTGTTTTTCACACTAATAGCAGTGGCAGGGTGGCTGCTAACAGAAGGATGGTTGAGATTGTGTTCCGTGGTCTGTGATGTATGGTAGCTAAAGCAGTAAGATGAATGGGTCCTAGTAAGAAGAGGCTATATAGGTGACATAAGACTTAGCCAAGATAAACCTTAGCACTTTGCTAACTCTTGTGTATTTCCAAATTCTTAGCGCTTGCTTGGAGATAGGTTTAAATGATGTGGCAATTATAGATCTTCAGAGGTAATGAAATGCTTTATTCGACCACCTTTATGGATGAGTTTACTTATACTGGAAGATGGCATCCAGGAGAAGACACAAAAATAAGAGAAGTTCTGGGTTTAAACATATGTACAGCTGTCATGCTTATGTTTGTTTGGCATTATCTAACCAGTCAGGCGTATGTGCTTCAGGCCTCTCTCAATCAAAGCTGGGTTAATGACTTCATGTAGGTATTTTAAATAAGCTATGCCTTTGTGCAAATAGACAGCTGTGCACCACAGAGTTTTTCAGTTATGACTGTTCTAAAAAAATGATTGACTAACTAGACTCCCAAGTCTGTCTACTTGGTATGCATCTCTAACAAGTTTTATGTATCTATTTAAAGAAAACAGGTCAGCGTCAAAGTAGAACTTGCTATATCTCCATACTAATTTCAAATACTTCCTATTTAAACAATTTGTTAACTTTGTTAAATTTTGAGTTTTTCGTAAGCGTACCTGGATCTTTATCATAGGTACAAATGGTGTAGTTCATAGTTTAGAATCATAAGGCTACTGGCACGCTTCAGAACTTTATAGTAATCTTGATGGTAACATGAGAGAGCTTCCAATATAATTCACCAAATAATTTAATTAGTGGCTTTTTTAGCACCTAAAACCCGTTATCATCATAGTGTTTAGTTTCCTAAGGAGCAGTTCTGTTCCATTTAAAAGAGAATCTATGGCAGCTGCATGGCACGAAGATTATTCAGTCAACTGTACAGTGGCTTGTTACATCTGTCTCATCTCAACCACCTACTAGTCCTCATTTTCCTGAATTAGTAGCAGCTATTCTTACGTTATTCTAATTTTTCACTTTGTAATAGAAGCTTGCAAAAACAAAGCACAAGAAGGATGCTTGATACAGTGTGTGACATTAGGAACACTTTGGGACTACCTTATTCATGTTGGAGTGCAGAACAGGAAAATTCTGAATAAAGCTATATGCATCCTCAGTTCTGACACCACAACTTCAAGCTTTGTTCTTCTTTTCCATTATATAAACTGAACACCTTTTACAAAGGCTGTGTCTGTATATATTATGTAACTTTAAATGTTACCTGTGTAAGATCATATCTTATATATATGGACACAGGTACGCATAAGTATTTTTTAAATTAAGATTGTAATATCACCAGATCTGCTCTTGGAAATCCAGGGGGACCAAAATATTTTAGCATTCAAAATACTAATTTTGTATCATTTCAAGTATATACCAAAACAGTTTCTGATGAATACTGATGCAAATGTTTATTGTAAATATTACATACATTCACTTAAGTTTTGTGGATTTAATTAATTTGACATTTTAGTAGCATTGAAGCCTCAGTTTGGTTTACAGACTTGTGACCAGGTGGATGTGGACATGGAGAATAAGGGGCATCGGAAATGGTCTGATGCTGAAAAGCCCAAAACATTGGTTTTGGAATGCTGGAATTCTTCAGGGACCTTCCAACCTTAAAAGCTGGAATTCCTGGATGTTTATCAAGCTGACTTTCCAAGTATGACACACTGTCATCTTCCCAGTGGTTCCACTTGTAATCCTAAAACAGACTTTGTATATAGGGTAAAGACATTGGGATTGACTGTATGGGGACGTGAAGGTGTCAAAAGAAATAAGAGGCTGTTTTATTTTTTTCAGTAATGGTTCTGAGTGTGATTGCCATGAAATTCACCTTTTAGTTAGTTCCTTGTTTATATTGTGCCATTGAAACGATTGCAAGGTGTTAATCATTTTGTGGTTAAAAAAAAAAAAAACCAACAAAAAAACTTCACCCTATCAGTTGCTTTAAACTCAAATTACCTCTTAAAAGACCAAGGTACATTTACCTCATGTGTATATAATGTTTAATATTTTTCAGAACATTCTCCAAGTTTGCAGCTACATGTTTCTAGAAATATGGGTATTACTAAATTTACAACTTCAGCGGTACTAAATGTATTATCTGGTGCCCCAAAACACTTTAATTTTCTGTATTTTATTGTATTAGCAAGTTTGCTGCTTTGTCACTGTAGCACCTGCCATTACATAGCTGTGTGGATACTGACTTGTAAATTTTACTTTTTGGATGATTTGAGGATCCTGTACAGATGAGTGTCACTTTTTTAAACCTTACAAAATTGTGCATTTCCCTTACATTTCTGAAAATATGTATTGTATTTGTAGAGTATACATTTCAATGGACTGTAAATAGGACAGTAGAAGAGTGGATGCTTATGTTAAGTGCTAACACTACAGTAGAGAGATTAAAGCAGTGAAAATAAATAACTTTTTTTCAAAATGCGTGAGTTGTCTTCCAGAGGAAGACGTTGCAGTTCAGTATGGGTTTGGGTGTGATGTTCTTTCTTGGCAAAACATGGGTTTACTGTGAATTCCTTTCCTCAGAAGGAATTTCTGCTGGTATAAAAATAATAAAGGGGGTTGCTAACGCTGAGGTAATCCATCTATACAGATAATGGTAAAGTGCCTGATCTTCCTTGTGTCCTATAATAATGATTGAATAAGTGTCTCTTGCTGATGTCTCTGATCTCTTGGACAGAATACTGACAAAGTGTTCCTTCTTTCCGTTAATATTTACATAGAAGTAACAGAGCTGATGAGGGTTTCAGACTACTTAAACAGCTGACCTGAGTGCATCACAGAACAGCAAGTAAAATCAGCTTGTGTTGAAGTGGATTGAGACTGGTATTACATTTCCGAAGGGAGGTGAAGACATAGACACAAAAGAAAAAATTTGACATCTTGCCCTTCCATAACTTTACATGCATCCATTAATTTTGATGCGGAAATGACTAGACAGAATTACCAAAAAGCAACTCCAAAATGGAAAGCCATAAGGTGTCCAGAGAAAGCCAAAAGCTATGTCAAAATGCCATGTTCCTGTTTAAACTCTTTTACAGGAGGTATGATTATTTGGGTGAGAACACGCCTCTCTCCCATGAATGGCTAAATGAAGGCCTCTCCTACTACTGCAAGCAACCAAAATTCAGTAAAATCCCAAGTCTCCCTCATACATCTCCTAGCAGAGGCCAGGTATGGCCTCGAAATAGTATAGTAATGTTGCTGTCTACCAAGCTTTGTTTTTATTGAACAGTCTTCTGTGTTTCATGCTTTAAGAGACTGAACGTAACAACTGAAAATCCATGAACAGCAAACAATTGCTGCAAGTAACTTAGATGTGAGGATGTTTTAAGATCATTTTAGAGGAGATGCTGAATTTGGGTGGTCTGCATGCTAGCTTGCATTACAAGTCAGTGCGAAGAGTGGCAGACTTCCAAATTTCTTACTCAGTGCTCTAACTAGCTTTCGTTATCAAGCTGTGATGTTTTAACTGGTACTAACAGTGAGGAAGCACATGGGCACGTTTTGTAGGGGTACGCTGCAGCGTAACTCTTGTTTCGGACATCTGGGTGACCATTTGTGTGGTGGGGTACTGTGGGAGGGCTCCTCTGGCAAGCAACAGGGATTTGGTCTGTGTGTCTGCAGAGTTTCATCAGTTAAGAGGCATATGGAAGGCTATGTTGGTTTGCTTGCACTGCTTAGAGAATGTTTTTGTCTTAGAATTTATGTAAGTGTACATTGTTTTGTTGGAGAAGAGTTACTAAAACCTTACACTGCAAATCCCCTTACTGACATGATGG